AGTAGCCCCAACATCACACTTTCCATCCCAACCGATGATGTTGATGCGGCTTCGTGTTTGCGCTTGAGGGCTAACCGACCTATCCACTTAAAACACAGTCTAAGCCCCGGATTACGACCATTCTGAAGGCAGGCAGGCAGGAATCAGGTCGAGGAGCATCCAGAGCATTCAGAGCATCCAGAGACGACCCCTGCTGGGCAGACCGACCCAAACATCACGTCTGATCGGCTGCGACAGTCGGGCCGTGGTCCCAAGTAGCGCCAGAGCTTACACAGGGAAAAAAAAGGTGGTTCATTTACAAGTTAAATCCATTTTAAGAAGGTGCATAAGTGTTAAAAAAAAACAAATTTAAAAAGACTCCTTAAAAACCACAAGAGTTTTTTTCTGTGTAGTGGGATAAAAAGTGATCTTTCTTTCACTTCGACTAATAGCCAAATTCAGCTTTTTTCTTTAAATAGTCAAATTTTTTGCCCAGTGTAACTTTAGTTTCTCACCTGCTTGTAATACAACCTCTTAGTTTTTATTAAAAATATTTTGTTTATACTCGTAGAATAAGAGATATATTTTATTAGGTAAAAACAAAACGCCCCTTTAACAATATGGGACATCTATTTGGGTTTCTTTGATTCCGTTTAGCTGGCTAAAAAGTTTTTCTTCAGCTCCTAGGTAAATATATATTTTTTTAAATATATATTAAATCATAAAAGAAAAAGAGGTTTTTCTTATTGACAAATACTGCATTTGTCGCCCAATCGCCAAAACCCAGTTCCATTTGCAGACCCCTTCACTGAGATTTGGGTCCAATTCCGATTCCTATTCCAAATTTGGAATCGATTCCGAGTCCATGTTCGCGTTCGTGTTCGTGTCCTGCCATTGAACACCGCTCAATGTTGGCGCTCGGTCCTCTGTGCTCTGTGGTTTTACCGACGATCCCACAAGGGATTTGCATATTAAGCCAAGAGAAAAAAAAAGGAAAACAGAAACAACCAGAACAAAAAAGTAGTAGGTTTTCTGTTGGAATCACTTTGTTAAGCCCTGTTCGTTCGTTCGGCAGCAGTCGGGGCGATTCAGAGGCGTTCATAATCAGAACTGAAGTGGTGCCCTGGGTTCGGGACTACTGGAGATCGGAGATCGGGGACCTGGAAAAAATCGGAGGGGAGGAGGTTTGTGCTTCGGCTTTGAACATTTTAACATCGGCTTTGACAGTGGAGGCAACTTGCCAAACATATCTCATGTGCAAGCCGTGTTGACACTTTTAATGTGTTTCATAAATAAATTTTTACAAAATAGTAGAGACTCGAGGGGGGTGTTTGGTTTTTTTTTATGGGATCTCGCGGGTTATATTGTGTGTGAGAGGAGAAGATCTGTGAGAACGATCGGCCTGAATCGCCTTGAATCGGCTTTCTCGCTTTTAATGGTTGACATCTCACAAAATTTCTGTGTTGTCCGACTTTAACACGCATTTATGACCACCGATATTATGCTGCTTTATGACTTTTGAAAATGCGTAAAGAAATGCGTTCCTTATGACGGCTGCCGCCGCCGATTCTATGCGATAAAGCCAATAATAATCATGATTGGTGGTGTCTGGAATGCCATTTTTCTCATCTCATCCTTTGTTATACGAGAATATAGACGGAATGAACAGACGACGAAGCTTAGCGGCAATTTTGTTATGAGACGAAAATGAGTTTCATGTGAAATACGAAATTAAAAGGAGTTCGTTCGTTCGTTCGGTCGTTCGTTCTCAACTCGGACAGATTCTCGTCGTCCGTCTGCTTGCAAGAGCTTCATAAATGTCGATGAAACTTTCGGATACAAATTGGCCAACAGCATCATTGATTGAGGGTAACGAACAAATAAATGACCTGTGTTTTTAGTGAAGTGAAATATCCGTGAAGCATATACATCCTGAAGCTGGAGTTACCGTGAACATAAATCTTATTTAACACTTTTTCTTAAAATGTTAGTAGGTATTTACTATATAGGAAGGTTTCCATTTAATTCCGAAAAATATATTATTTTTCAATTATTTCTTAAATATATGGGCACTTCCAAAAAAAAGTCCACCAAGCCAAAAACCTTGAAACTTGAATAAAACATATTTCCACATGATTTTGCCCCGATATTAGTTTCTAATTAGCTGGATACTGAGCTTAACTACAAATTTGGAGTATAGTTTGATTATTTTTATGACAAACCCCACCAATATACGCAAAAATCAGTTTTTGGCTATTTTTTTGTTATTTTTTGGACCTGTCTTCTGTTGTAAATTTATCCTATAGGAATGCTAATATGTGACATTTTTCTGTACTGAATGCTTCATTCACATGCTAAGCTATTAAGTTAAAAGCAAAACATCCAGCAATTAAGAGATAGAGGTAAAGAAATCCGCTTTACAAAACAGTCGGAAAAAATGTCCCGAGCGACATGTCCCGAGCGAATGTGGTTGAAACTGCATAAAAAAAAAACGGCAAAGAATTTTTGAGTAAAACCAAAAGCATTTCACAACGACATGTTTGAACAACATTCTAAAAAAAATCGCATTCAAATATTCCATCAGAATTTGCTAATTTCTGGTGTTGTATGAACTTCCCCGAAATCCACTTCTATTTTTGTCCCGAGCGAATACGGCAGTTTTTTACCGATATCTTAAAAACTAAAAGTGGTGCAAAATTAAGATTTTTACCAAAAATAGAGCTTAGGAAGAGTGAAAAGAAAAGCCCATCATTAAAATTAAAATCCATTGTTTTACAATTTTTTTTCAACTTTAAAGGTGTGCAAATGTCCCGAGCGACATTTTGGAAGTGCCCATATGGTACATATTTTATTTAAAAAGAATCGCTCTGTCATTTTTTTCATCTTAAAGGACAAATTGGGAACGATTTCAAGATTGTTCATTCTCAATAAACGAAATCAAGAATAACGTAGTCTCAAGAAACCGAAAAAGAACACTTTACGCTTGATTTCAAGAACATTTATTCTCAAAAAATGTGTGAAGATAATGTACAGATTTTCTCCTCATTTGCTTTTTCTCTGAGTGTAAAAATGTGTGCCAAGAAAAATGCTTTAATTAGTGTATTACTTATTATGTTATTATTATTATATTATAATTATCAAAATGTAACACAAATAAGGCACTTGATTGTTTTTAAAAAATATTCTGCAACGCAAAAGGGAAGATTGTAAAGCGGTTCAGCAAGTATGGACTATGGAACCCTAATTATAGGCAGAGGCAGACGACAACAAAGCTCCAATAATACTCGCTGCAAACTGTCACTTTTATGCAATCAGTGCTCAAGAGCAGATGGGTTCAGATACACACAACTCAACTCAACTTGAGGGGAAACTGGTTTGGTCAGAACCGAGAGCTGCGATCTGAGATATTCGGAACGTGTCAAATCACAAATACACAAGGCAAAATAAGTAAGAAAAGAAAATTAAATATCAGCCGAAAGCAATTAAAATCTGCCGTTGACGAGAGACTGTCGCGTCGTGCATCTCCGGCTCTAGACGACAGTTCCTTATTCGGATCTGAACAGAACACGGCACAGAACCGAACAGAGCAGAAACGTAATCTTAATAAATGTCATTACAACAGCAGCCCCAACAGGTGGCAATTAAAAAACAATTTGTATACCATTTAAATTACTTGCCAAGATGACATATATCATGCAAAGTTGCCCAATGCCAAATGGCACACAGTCCAAAGGCAAGCGAGAAATAAAAGTAATTATAATAGGATCGAAAAGAATGTTTTCATAATTGCAGATGATTAATTATTTTTTTGTCCGTATTCTTTTTTTGATGTTTTTTTATGAAAACAGTAACACTTCCTTTAATTTTAATGAAAAACAGGATTATTTTCAGTTCTCTAATTAAGAAAAACTTTGTAGCCCAGGAAAAAGTCTCCTGGTTCTTAAAAGTGCTTACCAAATTTGTACAAATCTAGGATGCAAGACGTTTAAGTTCAGGCTTTAATGGGTAGGTGGTAAATTAAAGTATTCATCGCAAGCGAAACGGCACTCATCGTATGGGATCATCAAGAGGTCGCGCGTAATGATCGCGATCTCTCGGCCCCGATCTTCATCTTCATCTCGAGTTGAATATCACGATCACAGCAGCGCCCTATCGATTTGAATTCAATTTCAATTTCGATTTCGGAACTTGGATTTGGATTTGAATTCGAATCGAGTTCAGATTCGGATCTAGTCGGTTGGTCGGTCGGAACCGATCGTTTTGGATCGTATCTCGAATGGCTCGCCTCGGCTCTTGTGCGGCACAGAAGAATGTGACATGGGGACTTGAAGTGGCCGTAGACGACAGCGCGAAGAGCGTCTTCTGCACACACTATCACAATGTCATGTCACGCCGGGCTCTCCACAACACAAACGAGTGTGTGTATGTGTGTCTACAAGTGTCCCTCTGCTCCTCTTTTGCCTCTCTTCTGATCGCCGACTCTCCTCTGAAACGACGTGAAGTGACCACTCAGAATTTGTCACATCATTATTCTTATTTTTATTTTCAATAATCATCTGTACTTGTGGATGCACGAGTATATATATGGTATGGTGTACGGTGTGTCGTTGTGGATGATGTGTGTCTGGGAGGTCCGAGGGCCACTTCGTTAGGCGGTTTTCGGTGGAAACTCCTCGACAATGTTTGAGATGGGAGAAGATATGTATAGTTTGTGGCCCAGACACCAGACACACTGGTCATAAGTACGAGCGAAATTAATTCAAATTATATTATGCCAGGTATATTTTTGGCACGATGATATGCGAAGTCTTTACATATTTGTTTAAATAGTCACAACGCCTTTAAAGTAGAAAAGGTAATTTATATTTAGAACCAAATTATTTTCCACTTTTATTGCCATTATAATGATGTTGATAATGTTAATGTGATGATGAGTAGATTGTCTTCTTTGTTTTTATCCTTTAATCTTCCTGTTTTAGGCCTCAAATTAATGTGTTCTTTTATTTTTGTTTTTCTTGCAGCAAATCGAATCGACGGGGAAACCTAAATGCCGCATCTAGTCTAATGTATCGTCAGAAGAATAAGAAGTCTACAGATTAACTGTTGTTCCTAAGCAACCGCCGCTTGATGAATATTGGCCACGAGAAGCATCCGCACTTTCATCCGCAACCGCATCCGCAGCCGCATCCGCATCCTCAGCTGCAGTCGAGCAGTAGTTCTGAACTTCATCGTTTGGCCGTCGGCGGTTCGGTTAGTCCGTCTACGTTGTTGTACCACCTACCCGCTGCCGCCACCGCAACCGCCTCCTACCTACTGCAAGGTCATGAGCGGCATCAGCAGCAGCAGCAGCACCACCCACCACCCCACAACCACCAGCATCATCATCCGCATTCGCATCCGCATCCTGGGGAACTACTGCACCTGAGCCCCGAATCCGTTTCAATGGTGATGACCCCCAGCCGTCGCAGTTCGCCGCCCCTGCCGCCGCTGCCCTTAACGACGCATCAACATCCACAACATCCGCACTCGCATCCGCATCCACATCCGCACCTGCCGCTGGCGCTACCGCTGCGCCATCCACTTACTTTGAATGCCAACGCCGGCGGCCAGCAGCAGCAGCACTCGCCGTCGTCCCGCTCGCAATCACAATCGCCGGCACAATCGATGAGCGCCCACTTTTCGCAGCTGGCCCATGCCCAGCTGCATTTGCAGAATCAATTGCAGCAGAAGCTCTCGTCGGCGGTGGCGGCAAGTAGGAATAGTAATAATAATAGTAGTGGTGGTGTTGCCGGTTCAGGATCAGTAACAGGATCGGGAACAAACACGGATAATCCAATAAACCCGCTGAGTGATTTGCAGAATATGCAACCCTTTGACTTTCGCAAGATCAGCTCGGCGGCGGCACTGGGCGCCTTTGGTGGTCCACTAACGCTGCCGCCGAGTCCCACGGAATTCGGGGGGCATCATCATCATCACAGTCACCATCACAGTCAACAGCAGCACCATTTGCATCGGAGTAACCAGTTCTTCAATGCAATGGCCATGGCCTATCACCTGCCACCGCCTCCACCGCCGCCGCCGCCGGATTCCCGCTCACCACCACCGCCGCAGTCTTCGTCGTCGTCGGCTGCCCAGTATCCGCATTCGCATCCGCATCAAACGGGCTCCAGTTCGGGTTCGGGCTCATCGGGATCGATTGAAGAGTCTTCGGGGGGAAAGCAGCAGGGCCAAAGAGGCAGCGGCGATAAGGGAGGAGGAGGAGCTTCCGCATCCAATTCTGGAGTCAGTTCGCAGCGAATGACCCGCCTGGCCTTGTCCTCATCGAATATGCGGGCCAGCAGGAAGGCTCACTCCCCAGGAGGAGGAGGAGGAGGCAATGGAGGATCATCTGGAGGAGGAGGATCATCCGGAGGCGGCAAGCGGCAATGGGGCTCCATGCCCGCCAATCTGGGCACCCAGTTCATCAATCCGGTGACCGGGAAAAAGCGGGTACAGTGCAATGTCTGTCTGAAGACCTTTTGCGACAAGGGCGCCCTCAAGATTCACTTTTCGGCCGTCCACCTGCGAGAGATGCACAAGTGCACCGTGGATGGTTGCAGCATGATGTTTAGCTCGAGGCGATCGAGAAATCGCCATAGCGCCAATCCGAATCCCAAGCTCCATTCGCCGCATCTGCGACGCAAGATCTCGCCGCACGACGGCCGGAGTGCCCAGCCGCATCCGCTATTGCTCCAGGCGCCCAATGGTCTGATGGCTGGATTAGCGCCCTTTGGCAGCTTTCCGCTGTTGACGCCACCGCCGGATCTGCGGCATCATGCCATGGGTGGCGGTGGCGGAAGCGGCGGAGGAGGAGCCCTGGAGATGAAGCACGGTCAGGATTATCTGCAGAGATCCTACTTGGATGCCGGACGATTCGAGGGACAGCGACGCAAGCTGACGCTGGAGAACAACGAGCACACGGAGGACGAGGACGACGACGAGATCCTCGAGGTGAGTCATTTCACATTAATCACAATTTAGACTATTTAATGATCTATTTCATGGTTATTCAAAAATTCAAGATCTTAATCACTTCACTTCACACTTAATTCTAAAAATGATATTAATAATATTAAACCAAAAAAAGTAAAATATGTTCGAAAAAGCATATTATAATATCAAACAGTTTTTGTTTTTATCTTCAAAGTTTGTTCTCATTTTAAAACCTAAAATTCTATAGATTACGAAAATTTTCTACGATTTTCAAGACAATTTTGTTCTCATTTCAAGTAAAGTTCAAAAACAAAGTTAAATGTCAAATATGTTATAAATTCTAAATATTACTCATCCGACCTGCTGGTCTACATTTTTTCTCAGACTGTAAAAATCCATTAGGAATATAGGTGAATATTCTAAGAATATGACTTCTTGAAAAGCTAGCAATTAAATAAAATATTAAAATCATACATATATTTTTCTCAATTAAAAACTAACATCTTAAGTTTTAAATAAAATATTTAAATACTAATCACAATCATATTTCTCATTTTCCATTGCAGGTTGGCATCCACATGGCCGGTGATGATGACGACGACGAGGCTGACGGCGATGAGGACGAGGATGACGATGATCCCGATGGCATCGTTGTGGTTGGCGATGAGCTAGATAGCCTTCCGCTCGACCATGACAACGATAACGATAATGATAACGATAATGATAATGAGAACGATGAGAGCGACGAGCGCTCCACATCGGCGGTTTCCAGCCTGAGTCAAACCAAAGAGCAATCCGGAAGTCCCGGCAAGGTCGTTCGATCGTCGGCCGGCCTTGAGGAGTGCCACACATATGCCCACTCACAGTCCCACCACCCCCATTTGCATGCCCATGCCCACGCCCATGTCCTCGCCCAAATGGCGGCTGCCAATAAACGGAAACGCAAGAGCCAAAATCCCGTACGATGTCCAGTCCAATCGGATGAGAATTCCGGTGAAAATTCCATCGATTACGATGTGGCCGCCGATCTGTCGATTAAGAAGGTGCGTCTGCCAGCGGCAGCGGCACCACCAGCAGCAGCACCAGCACCACCAACGTCATCATCATCATCTGCATCATCCGCCAAAGAAACAGAGGTGGGCGAGTCCACCAAGTCGATACCGTCGCCACCGCTAACGCCCTACGCTGATCTCAGGCCTCACCAGGTGGTGGTGGGTCTCTGCAGCATCAAGAGGGAGGAGGATCAGGAGGAGCAGGATCCTGAACCTGAACCGGAACCGGAAATGAAAGTGGAAAGGGCCGAGGAGGAGGCACAAGAGGAGCAGCTGAACAAAGAGGATCCTCCTCCACCCATAGACAACACCACTTTGGACCTTTCGCGTGCGGCGGCTGCCATCAAATTGGAGCCTTTGGAGGATCTGAACTACGAGGCGGACGAGAATCGCTATGTGCGCATCAAGCAGGAGCTGATGGGTAATACTACTACCAACGAAGATGATGAGTCCTCTAGCGACAAGACGACGACGACGACGACGACTGCCAATCACAATAATAATAATAATAACAAAAGTATGAAGAACAATGGTTTGGATGCCGAAACGGAAACGGATCATGAACCGGAAGCAGAGGTCGAAACCGAAACAGAAGTTCTGCCCATCGAGGTGCCCATCGATAAGGAGAATCCCCTGAAATGCACCGCCTGCGGTGATATATTCCAAAATCATTTTCATTTAAAAACCCATCACCAGAGCGTCCACCTAAAGTTGCATCACAAGTGCAATATCGATGGCTGCAATGCGGCCTTCCCGTCGAAACGCAGTCGCGATCGTCACAGTTCGAATCTCAATTTGCATCGTAAGCTTCTGTCGACCAGTGATGATGATAATGGTGGTGGTGGTGGTCATGGGCTGCTCCATTCGGCTGCTAACCTCGTAATGCCCACGGATCCGCTGCTCGAGCTGATGAGTCTTAATTTGAATAACAACAAGAGTGGAGGAGGTGTATTTCAAACTGGCAATGTCAATCATCCGGCGGCGGTGGGCAGCATCCAGGCGGAGATCCTCGCACGCATTTGTGCCGGCGCCCATGCCCATGGCTTGAATGTACCCCTTTGCTTTGAGGCCTTGCAGCATCGCTTCGCCTATCCGCTGGTTGGTGGCACTGATGGATCCTCTGCTGCCGCACCACCACCCAATCCCCGCCTGCTGCATGGTGGTGGTGGTGGCCATGGCATGTTTGCCGGTTTGCCGCGAATGCCACGTTTTCCCCAACTGACGTCACATATGCTGGCCGCCGCAGGAAATCATCCAGCGATTGGACTGGGCGGAGGACTTGGACCCTTTTGCACAAGACGCACTTCCTCCGATTCAAATTCACAGCACTCGATCACGCCACCGCCACCGAAGAGATCGCAATCCCGATCGCAATCTAGATCACCGGATCACTGTAACGTACATCCCGGACATTCTGGACATCCAGGACACCCAGGAGTTCATCATCCCGTCGAGGAGGAGGCTAAGGCGAACCAGCGGCAAAGCCCCGATCGCATATCATGACCATGTACCTCGTACTATGCCAAGGCGTTGGCATTTTATCACTGAAGAGAGAGAGAGAGAGAGAGAGAGCTGAGAGAGAAGAGGAGGGCCCTCAGAAGTCAGATATGCAGGATATACGGATTAGGATATATGAATATCTATCTTATATCTATATATATTTATAGGCAAAAACGTTTTCCAAACATTCAATTCCTAGCGTTCTCAGATTAAAGGTAAAATTCTTCTCAAAAAGAAAAAAATGTTCTTGAAAAGAAGAAATGGTTCTCAGAAATAAGATCAATTTTATCTTAATCAAGTTCGCTTTAATTCGAATGTTAAGAATACTGTTTTTGTATATATCTATATATCTTTATCTCTATACAATGATGCATTGCTCATGCTCACATCGAAGATCGAGGATCGAAGATCGTCTGCCGCTCATAATACGAAAATAATACTTTCACTTAGGCTAATGCTAAAATAATAAATATTTAGATGGATCAACTAGCATTTTTTTTTCTATACATAAATATACACACAATATATATATAAAAATATATATGAGTCCCTTTTTTTTTATTAATTGTACTTATGAAAAACTGATGTTTTGTGTACAAGCGTCGTGTTGTAGAGAATTTATAAATGGCAAAGAAAAATAACAAGTACTAAATAAATAAATAACGATACATATTGTTAGTGATACTCGATTATGTAAGTTAAATATTAGCCACTAAGCAGCGTGAGTAACGTTATTTTTTTTTTTATTGTAACTGAAATATTAAGTGTGTTGTATATGATATGACGATGGCAATGGGAATGCAATTAGAATGAGTCAACAACGACGAAGCGCTTTATATGAGGAAACGAACAAAATTTGATTTCAGATTGCCGTTTTTCCGAACTAGGTAGGATCACTCATTAAAAGTCCTCATGATCCAAATTCGAAAAAAAAAGAATACGTTCTGTTGTTTCTTTTTATTTGATTACAAACAAATCCTAAAGTAATTATGTAGTCGGTTAGTTAGTTCTGAAAACAGTAACCAGACAAATACCTTCAACTCATATTTAAGCTATATATGTTTGCAATAAAATATCTGAAAATTCTTAAATCTCTCTGTTTGCACTTGGGAAAAGGAAAGGGAATGCAAAATTTTGCAGGATATCAAAGGACGGTGGATAAAGTCGATTATAAAGAGGAGTATATTTTCGATGGTACTAAATAACGATTTGGAAGCCATTTGGAAGAGAAATCCTGTGTAAATTTGCGATATTATCCACCGAGACACCTAAAAATAGGAAGTTTGGTTTTTGGAGGAGTACACATTTTTTTTAAACATTTTGAACAATTTCTAAAAAGGCTTTATAAAAGCACATTGTTCTTGAGACCATTGGTTCTTGATTTGAGAACTTTTATTCTCGAATTGAGAACATTAGTTCCTAAAACCAGTTTAAGTACAAATGTTCTAATTTTTAGTTAAATGTTCCCAATATCAGAACAAAGTGGTCAGATGAGAAAAGTTTAGTTGTGTTTATTCAACAACTTTTCGATTAATATAAAGGGATGTTACTTATTGATTAGTTGTTGAGATGAACATAATAAATGTCGTCCTATTTTTAAGAACATTTTAAATTCAAATGAGAACGTCAGAGCTCTCCCAGTGTACAAAGGTGTATATCAACATTTTGTTTTTTTTTTTTAGAAGTACTACAAAGTAATGTACACTATTAAAACCATAAATTTAGCACATGTACATTGTACACATTTTACAGGAGAAAAAGAAGGCATATCCGATGAACTTGAGCGCTTTAAAAGGATAGTGTTTTATAGAAGAGAAATGGCAAATTGTTGATAACAATTAGGATTGCAGATAACTGAAAATGCATGAAGGTGGAAGTGAGTTTTTTTCCTGTTTTTTTTTTTCACATAAAAGGGTTGATTTTCCAGGCAAGCCGTTTAATTTTAGATCGATTAAGGGAAGCTCGTAAATTTTGCTGCCCTGGGCTGCGAGGGCGTTAGTGTCCAAATAAATAAATGCAGTGCGCCAGTAGAGTAGATAGATACTGCACATGCAGGCCGGGTATTTTGTAAGTAAGGTAAGGTAGGTGTGTGCTCGTATCTTATATGGGATATTATGTACGTGTACTTACATATGTTGTATATGGGTGCCATCCGTATCCGTATCCGTATCCATATGTGTGGTTGGTTGGTTGGCCAACCCCAGTTTTCGAAGTTAGCATGGTAGCAACACCATCGCCATCGGGTATGGCAACCATATAGCCATATAGTCATATAGCCTGATAGCCGCCTTATAGTCATTCCAATGACCTCCCTCCTTCTTCGAGGGCTGAGAAGGAGGAGGAGGACATTTGTGTCTAGAAAATAGCAGAGCCAGCTCCAGAGCCAGAGCCAAGCCGAACCGAACCGAGCCTCCGGTGTGGTGCAATTTATTTAAAGTAACATTTTAGTGTTTCCTTCCGCTGAAATCCGCTCTCTTCCTTCCTGTTTGGCAGGACTCGTACGTACTAGGACTCGCATTCGGTTTGGTGGCTCCCTGTGTCTGTGCCACTGACTGTAGTATTCCAACTCAAACTCCAACTCCTAGTTTCTACTGGCTTGTGGCGCCCCGGTCTCGAGTTCTGCAAGGAAAAACAACAGATTGTGGGTAAATAAAATTGCCACAATGTTATCGTTGAGCCTGAAGCAAACACGCAGAAAACAACAGCCAACAGACATAGGGCAAGGCAAATGTAAGTATAACCTTAAATGGCTCTCAGACCTTTCAACTTTGCGCCCAAAAACTCTTTCCATACGCATCAATTTTTAGAGAATTATATAATGCATTTGATGGAAATCATAAGAATTGTGAATTTCAAGTTTAGGTTTTATGAAAATAAAATCGAGTTAATAGTTAAAATTGATTTTACATAAAATTCGACGTCTTTTAATCACATTAGAACTATGATAAAATATTCTCAAAATAATCTTAGCTAGGAAAATCAAACCAAATAAGGTAAAGAAATATTACAACAATGAAACAGACTTTCTATAAAATTTATATTCTGCATTGGTAGTTTGCCCCAGCACTCAACTCAACGGTAATGAATAAGTGTATATTTTTTCTCTCTTGATTGATCGCGGGAGTAAGTTCACTCTTGGTCATAAGTTTCGCTGCTTCCAGAGATACCGATTTCTATCCTTTCGTTACTTGGGTTTTATTTTTTTGTCTTTCTTTTTCGCAGCCTGTGCGCGGCCTCAGTGCTTTTTTAAGTGCACCTGTCGTGGAGTGAACGTTAACCCGGGTCTAATTCACATTCAAAGACCCCAGCCTATACCAGTCCAGTAGTCCAGCAGTCCCGAAGTCCAGAAGTCCGGGGTTCTCGTAAACGAGCAGTGTCATCATCGGCATCATAGGCATCTTGTGGCCGGCTGCCACGACTCCCAATCGTAATTTAATGCTGGCGGTCAATAGCATTACTACTACTACTACAACTACTACCACTAAAAACTGCAACAACAAATGGCTTATGAACAAAAAAAAAAAAAATCACAAAAAAAGCTAATCTGATAATACAGAATTGAAAGGGGCGGTCACGGCACGAATTTTGCTACACGCTCTCGATACGATGGCAGTTCTCCACCGCCCCAACATCCAACATCCAGCTGAACCGAACTGAAGTCCAGCGATTGACGTTGGCAGCATCGTCAACCGAACGAACTTCTTCTTTCATATTGGTATAGTGTAGTATGAAATGGTATGGTATGGCATAGTATAGTGCACCGCATGCGGCTTCAACAGAAGGGATCGATGGTCAGACGGTGAAATTGCCTTTGGCCGGGGCTAAAGTTGGTGGAGCTCAACAACTCCACGAATGCAGTGTACCTGTGTGATAGAAGGTTGGTTCAGTTCAGTTCAGTTCAGTAAAAAAAAAAAAAAGAAAAATAATAATAATAAAAATGCGAAACTGCAACGGCAGCCGCAGCCGCAGCAGCAGCAGCAGCAACAACACCAAAAGTCCTTATAATCTTCTGCAAGATTGATGGCATGGGACCAGATGTCAATAATTCAGAGCAGGAATGGCGGTAGTTTACAGTACTGTACTGCGAAACTCAGACTCAAGATCGACATAAAAATCTATAAGAAAAAAAAACAAAAATTTATAAATAATTTTATATAAATTAGTATAAAAATAAAATGTACCATAATTCTAAATCGGCAAGAAAGGCTTAAAATAAAAATCGATTACAAAAAAACTAAAAAATCATAAATAATTCCTTAAAAAAATTGGTAGAAAGATAGTAAAGAGAATAGTTTACAGGCAAAACTAGATACAAGCTCGAAAATCGCATTTATAATGTCATAATATACATATATCTTAATAATCGCTTAAAATGATATCCAATTTCCGATTTTTGGATCCCGATAAAGGCGAAACTTTACTGGCCCAGTCAATCTTCATCTTCTTCTTCTTGACCGAAACGAAACTAGCAGCAACAGAGCCAAAGAAAGGGATTAAAAAATCTGCTCAGCTCAATTATAAAAATTCATCCCAATCTCATCCCAATTCCCGCGAATCCGTCGTCGTCGTCGTCTTCATCTTGGGAATAAGAAGAAGAAGCTCGTATTATTGCCATTCTGGCCCTCACATCTTGTGATCCCGATTCACTCTGCGTTTTGCTGTGGTCATTCGTCATTTAAAGTTCGCTCAGTCACACACACAGCACACAGCGTCCGGTTTGGTTTGGTTTGGTTTCCCAATCTTCCGAGGCCCCGAGAAGACCATAATCTGAGCCCCAAAGTCCCCTGATCCCAGTATCCCAATCTCCAATCCCAGAGTCGCGCTGCAGTCCAAGTCCAAGACCAGGTCCCCCAGTCATTGACACTGATATGTGTGGCTTTTGAAATGACAATCAGCAATTTGCTATTCGGAACCGTTTAAAGTAATTTATTTTTCCATTCCCTTCCCTTTCCCCCTTTTTTTCAGGACGAGATTCACGCGGCGCGAAGAGTGCTGTATATCACAAATGTGCGAATCTGAATCCGAATCGGAATCTCAGGGACCATCGCCCCTGTTATATTACACAGCATAGATTTAATATGGCCCCGATGAACTGGCAAATTGACAAAGGATATTGTTGAAAAAAGGAAAAAGG